AATTAACTCCCCTGTTTTTCGCCACTCAGAATTTGGTTTACAGAAAATTCGTTTTTTGCAACTAGCTCCTCTTATCTTTTAACCGCACATAGTGTATATGATATAGTTCTTGATTTAATGGGCTTTTGCTGTAAAAATTCTCGTCTCCACGACAATAAAATCTAATCAAAACCTTTAGGCGAGTGAGTTGTATTTTATTATAATTGTTTTATTATTAATTACTTTTTGCGCTCGGCTGTAATAATTATAAACCTTTAATAAAAAGCAACAACAACGTTTTATTTATGTTTCTCTTGTGTGACAATAAAACCGAGCACTCCCCGCGCGATAGTTTTTATTAATATTATTACCCTCGCCATTGACTGAAATCTTGGAAAAAATATTTTTTTTTCCGAGTTTAATATGTATACTACTACCTCTTGTGTGAAATATGAAATTTTGAGACCAAAACCGTTCTCTCCCGTCTTGACAATTGGCCGAGTTATATTTTGTTGAATTTACAGAGAAAAAACTCTTCAAAGTTTTGAAACGTTGCCAATTTTTTTTTTCAATTTACACACTTAAGGAATGAAACTTGACCGAAAATTTAAATAAAGCGCCCTCGCGTGGATAACATGTATTTTTTAACATGGATATAATAGATAAGTGATAATAAATATGTGATAAGAGATAACATCTGATGTTATCAGACTATGAAATTTCATGTCGCCATTTTCGCGTTACACTTTCACTATTAGTTAGAGATAAGAGATAATACAAAATATAAGAGATGATAAGAGATAACATGTCCATGATTAAATGTTTGGCCTCTCCTGCGATTTGGATTCTCGCGACAATATGTTCCTTTTCCCCCTTTCCGCCTTATATATTTTATACATATCTATATGTGTGTCATTTAGTATATTATTATTTTTATTATGATTACGATTATTACTTACCTCTGGATGAAGAGTATTCCAAGACGGCGCCGGCGGAGGTGATAGTGTTTCTCCGTGAAATATAATGTAATATTGTCACGAGACAACGGAGTGTAATAAATTGTAAAGACGGAGCTCAGTATTATTTCAAATTCAACCACGTAGTCCATATTTCATTCCATTCATTTGCCGATGTGTATACAACACTGCTACAACAGAGCGGATGAATGGAATGAAAAAAAAACCGAATTCGAGGTCTACCGACCACCTATACTCTTATTGCCGCTGCGCTTTTATTAATTTTTCCTGTTTAGAATTTTTCATTGTAATTTTCCGCATTTTTACCGCCGGCGGCCAAACTCGATTTTCCAGCGTGCATATAATAATAATAATATGTGATTAATTATCAGACTTTGCCGCCCCGGGTCGCTGATCGATAATTAATATCTGGGGTATTTTTAAAAAAATAACACGTTATCTATATAAGGCCTAAAACCGCCATCGACACCGGAGACAACAACCGCGTATAAATGTTTAATAACAGCTTAATAAATTATTCCGTTCAGAGTTTCTAGCCCCAAGGAGTTCCATATGTCGATAAAAGGTAATTATTAATATTCTATTGGAAAGCGTTCACATTTTGCTAAACAACGTATGTGTAGACAGTCTTAAGCGTCTATGCTAAGTACCCCAACCGAGCAATTGCACGTATCTGCTATTTAGAGTTCTGAACAAAAATGTATTAGGTGTTATATTTAATATTACAAAGGTCTTCCATGATTGTGTGCGTTTTGAAATTTTAATATTTTATCTACACAAACATTCGCATAACCGTCTTGCCAATAGCTCTGTTTAATTGAAGTTTATTTTGGTAAAAACAGCAAAAGTGTCACGATATTTTTTTTATTACAACAACCTTTTCAAATATTGTTAAATGTCACATTTTTGAACTTGGCAACGCGCTTGCTAGTGAAATCGTTGAAGGTCTTGTGAACAATCCTGTTAATAGTATTCTCTTTTGTATGGATTTTTTATTAAGATTTGTGAACGACTTGATCCAATTGTTGTGATGCGCTCTTGCTCGAGTGCGGTTTCTTCTTACACGAGATAGATTTCAATATTATATTCTGTGTAAATGTTTATTGTTTTATTGCTTCGGTGTCGTTTAGCTGTCGGTGTACATCCCGTGTGGATAATAGTGTGTCATCATCGGAGTGCGCGCATGATATATTATATACTGTCGGTAATATTTTCGACCATTGAAAAAAAAAGAAGGCCAATACAATACACACAAGAACAGTGCCATTTGCCAAATGTCAGTTGTCTCTGCGTACAAACTTTGGCATCCGTCCCAAGATTTCTGTTTGGGGTCGTCGAAAAAGTCAATGCAAAGTATAATATAGTTCTATTCGCTGTAATATACCGAATTTTGAAATAATATAAACTTACACACTGCACACATATGTCATACGCTTGTGTACTACATCAAGGAGGATATCTACATTTAAATGTCAAAGGCCCCGAAGTGCGTGTACCGAGTATAAGGAACTCTTTTATTACTTTTGAATTGGTTTTGCGAGGTTACTACTGCTCTTAGTGTCGGCTTATGTCTTCTCGCGATCGTGTCATCCTCCACTTCGTTTCTTTTGTACTTAAACAACAACGACACGTCGTAAAAAGATAAGTAGTGAAATACAATATAATAAAACACAATAAAGCTTATACGCTCTCGTCCGTGGTGCTGATTTAGTAGGTGCGACGCGACATATTATCATTCTAAACAATTATTAGTATCATTAATAGCTATGTCTGGAAAATGAAAACCTAGCAACCCAATGTCCAATACCGAGGTAATGGTTCTTGAAAGAAAACATAATCGAATCACGGCTATGCTATCTCTTATCACATCTCTTTTGTCGCTTATCATTTATTTATTATCTTATATCTAATATGCTATCACCACAGATTTATATATAATATAATAAACTAGATTCCTAAGTGTACATACCGCCAATACAGCTAATTGAAGTGATCTTTGTGAGAATTAGAACCTAATCACATGGAAATATGTTTATAACAATAATTATAAGTTAAGTTGGTAACACAGAATCGCAGGTATATATTTATAATATTTTATACACACATAGATCCCACAAAAATGGCGGACGTCGATTTCAATTCTTATCACTTTTCTCTTATCTCTTATCAGTTATAACGTGAAAATATAACATTGTACACTGAAAATGATAAAATTAAATATAAAAAAACGCATTCTCGTCTCATTTGTGGGTTATGCCATAATAATACTACTATATTCTAATGATTAAATCGCTCGTAAGATCTTTTGAGCGTAAATACCAGAAGCCGTCGATAAAATACAAACTTTGCGACTTTGCTGGGCGGTATAGCGTCCGAGAATTATTGCGCCTTATTCTCAAATAACAAATACAAGCGTGTATATGTGTTTATACATTTGAATGTTTTTTTTTTATCCATTTTTTGGTCGGCAAACGACAACGCCCGCAAGCGAGAGTATGCCAGAAACTATAAATCACCAGCTTGTAAAAATAAAATAAACAAACAAAAACGCTATGTATACTATAACGCGCAAAAAAGACGGTAAACCCGAATTTTGGAACAACTATAAATGTTATGCTAGATGTTTTTGCCCATCTAAAGTTGTATAATTTTGCCCTAATATCGAAGTGTAAAAAATACAAACAAAAAAAACGTTTTGTCGTCACACATTATGTTTATGCGCTGCCAGCAAAGTTAAAATCGCGTACGTTGTATAATATATTATTATAAGTTTTACACACTCAATTTAAGACAACAGCACAGCTTGCCCGTGTACGATTGTTATCATTATAGTGTAATAATAATATTCTGTGGTAATGTCTCAATTTTAAACGTACCCCCCGACCATACCGTTTATTTTCAAAGATGTGCCAAAACAAACTAACTTGACAAAGGCAAACGTTTCTCTAGAAATTGTGATTTATGTCCGATCGAATGTGTTAATTGACAATATATTAATCCGATTGAAGGTTTTCCACTGGTAAAAAAATTGGGAGGTAGCTAAAGATTTTATTTTTTACTCTTGTAAGTTAGCAAATAATAATTTACCAAGACATTGTGCGTACCCATGAGACACGAAGCTTCGAACAAATACCTAGAAGCAAAAAAAAACACGGTAGCATATCGGAGTTATAAAATCTATTTCCTCGAAGAAAATCTTTTTTTTTAACCCGACATTTATATGTATAAAAAAACCCGCCATACTTATTATTCGAGATTATTTTACAGTGTCCGTTACGCGGGTACACGGTGCTCGGATTTTATTTAGTTAAAGAAAGAGCAAATAATTTGTTTTTTAATTATTATTATTCATATTGAAATAAACATTACACGTTTACCACCGTGGTACGATTGAAATATATATATTTATATATTAATATATATTTTTTTTAATTTAAAACAATCTGTACACGGACGGACATACCGAAACGAATGACTAAATAAACTACGAGGTCTATATTTTAAACCGCTGAATCGGTTTATTTGTGTAACAACTCTATAGATCATGAAAATCGTTCCTGAAAGGTACTCGATTGGGCCAAAAAATGTAATAAATTCACCCCTTTCCCGCATTTTCATAGACTGCGGACGATCAACCATAATGGTATCCACCCCAATACGAAAACTGATTTTTCAAGCACATATATGTCATTAGGCACAATGGCAATTATGCCAAAAACTCATACCTTACTTGCCCACTCTCTTACTTGGCTTGGACTGTACCGGTTTGACCTAGTGTCCACGTCATATAGATTCGCATCGAAGCGTTTATTTGAAAGTGATTTTTTTTATCACTTTCGGTATAAATTAAATATATCATGCATATAAACAATGCTGGAAGCTCTTTTTGTAGTTAGTTTTTTTTTCTGTCGATAAGGCTGCTCAGAATGGATTTCAAACATATTCGGCTTGCCGGCAGATATTGTGTATTATACAGCACATATTGTGCTGTTGTACCTTGTCAATTATTTGTCTTATGTGTTGGTGTTGTCGTTTGTTTTGCAGGTAAAGCCCAAGGACCTGCTGAACTCGTTCAAACTGTCCGTGGCGGCAACCAACAACAACAACTCGGCCGGCGGCGGTTCGCCCAAAACCGCGACCAACAATGCGGGAGGTGTTGCCGTCCAGGCCATATCGTCAGACGCTGTCAAGAGACTGGTTTTCTTATTGCTGTCCACGTGCACGTTGCTGGCTTTCCGGTTGAAAATAATGGGATCCAAATTGCCTGTGTTCACCAGGTACTACCCCTACTACTGGTCATTTTTGTGTTCTTTGAAACTTAAATGGTACATTTCCATCAAATATGTATACTTACATATAATTGTCATACTCGATCTATATTCAGAAGCACAATATCGAAGGTGTAACTTTACACCAAATTAATAAACAATAATTTGGTAAATTGGTACTTTTAAATGTATCAATAAGTTAAATGTACACGATACAAGCACGGTACTTGATTTTGCATCATTGATCATTGTTGTTGCTATTATCATTGAGTATATATGAGTAGGTTGGAACCAACAAAACTCACATGATCAAAAAATGATTTTTAAAAAACTAGTTTACACTGCCTTGAACACGCTTAGATTCAAAGTCCAACAAGGTCCACTGAAACATGTGAGTTTTGTTGATACTGAACTATTTTTAACCCGAATAGTTAAAAATATATATACTTATATTTAAGACGTTTTAAAGAAAATAATACATTGTTTCATTTCGTGAACGTACCAACAATTTTCTGGTTTTATCTGCTGAACATATGTCAATTCAAGTTATTGCCAAAACTCAAATGTTCCAAACATTATTTTGAAAAAAAAAATTATCAATCGACTCAACTTGTATGTTTTTTAATGGTATATTTGAGTTTTTTGGTCCAGTTTTTTTGGGTTTTCTAAAAAATGTGATTTTTGCATATTGTGAGTTTCGATTGTTGCCTACTCATATTACTCAATGGTCAGTTATTATTGTTTTATGTCTATTGAGTTTTTTTATCGATTTACTCGAATAACTCATGGGGATCCGTGCGTTTACAGGTTCGACAACCCGGCCAGCGTGTCCGATTGGCCCGCCCGGCAGCTGACCTACAACTACCTGGTGAGCGTGAACGCGTGGCTACTGGTGTTCCCGTGCGATCTGTGCTGCGACTGGACAATGGGCACGGTTCCGCTGGTGGAGTCCACGGCGGATCCGCGAAATCTAGCGACGTTGGCCACGTACGCCGTCGTCGCTGGCCTGGTGTACACGGCCTTTACCACGGCCAATCGGACCAGGCGCGTCGCCGTCATTATGGTAATTACAATTCAATTACACGCGGTTAGACGCGAACCCACGCCCCCGTGTTTCCGGTTCATTGGACGAACATTTCCCATAACCGTTTGTCTGCACCGTTGAACTTTTAATCAAATCGCGCGCACGTTTGTTGCGCTACTGTTGAACGTGGCGCGTCACTGTCTCCGCCGTGTGTCGTTGACTTTATATCTGTTCGTCAAAACGCGACCGTTACGTTTTCCGTTACATTACTTTGTCGTACGGAATTTAAGTAGAAGAAATTAAATACATTCGTCGGTGTTGCTTTTATTGGATTTCTCTTTTGTCGGCCACGTTTAATTCGAATAAAGCCAATCCGCGCGCACCTCCCACGCAACGCTTCCGTTATCCGTGTTCAGCGTGACTTTTAATCTTTTATTCTGTGGAAATGAGAAACAATATACTCTATATAGGTATACGTGTGCACCTAAACGCTGTGTTTGTCGCGCAAAGCTTTAGCGGATCTTCAGATTTCCGGATTTGTTTGACATCATTCAGACATTTTTTTGCTATCCGTTTCGATTGTTGTTCTGTTTGGCTCATAATATTAAAAACCGTTTAAAGGATGTGCTGTTTTTAAGATGACCCTTAAAGTATACAATGTCAATGTTGGGTTAGTAGCCACTAGACAACCTAGATAAAGTTATCAATATTTTAAATGTGTAAAAAAAAGAAAATTGTCCACGATTAAATGAAAAAAAAAAAAATGCTAAATCGCTGTCAACGATGCTGTATTGGTCCGAAAAATAAATTGACTACCAAAAAACATAGTCCTAATTAATGAACTAATAACTACACATCACGGTTTAACCTTTTAATTGAGATTTTGCAAAAAAAATTGCCTTAATAAATGGGAGTATGACTCGGTAGTTTAACCACAGTGAGCATATTTTACTTTCTTGATTTTTTAAAAAATCAACTAAGTATAGTAAATGAAATGAAAAAAAAATTGATGTGGATAACTTTAAGCTCGCTGTGAAAAGGAAAAAAAACAAATTGCTAAACAATAAGCAATAGAGAGTTGATTCCGAGCTCATTGGAAGGAACTTATCACGAAGATACGAAACGTGAATTTTAAAAATGATTTAAGTATTTTACAATATTAAGACAGTTGGAGATTTTAGCTCAATTTTTCTTTAGCCACGCACATCTCTGTAACCGACGAAGGGGATTTTGTTGTTTAGGGTCTTATTAGAATCCACCTTGGCATGTTGAGTGACAACTGAAGCAACCAATGCGCATAATTGGTCTGCGAACGAACCGAGGGAATATAATATGATGATGTTGTAGCGAATACAACCCCTATATAACATTATGTAGACTTGTCGAAACGACTTGACAAAACTTGGACGTTACACTAATCGTTTGTTTGTTTGTTTAGAGTTTGGCTTTAACCGTGTTGCCGTTCCTGCCGGCGTCTAACATGTTTTTCCCGGTGGGTTTTGTCGTGGCCGAACGAGTGCTGTACATGCCCTCGATGGGTTATTGCATGCTGGTCGCCTACGGCATTGGGCTAATGGTCGAGAAAAGGTGAGTTCAGCATGGATAATGATAATTGTCATCGCAGCTAAATTTCTTTGTAACTGTATTTATTATATGCCTACAGCAAATCTCGCGTGGTCTGGGCGGCCGTGGCGATGTTAGTGATCTCGCACACGATCAAGACTTACACGAGAAACTGGGACTGGTCGTCCGAATATGCGATATTCACGGCCGGGTTGAAGGTGAACAAACTCAACGCTAAACTGTACAACAACGTCGGGCACGCCCTGGAAGCCGAAAACCGTTTTACCGACGCCCTCGTGTACTTCAACAAGGCCGTTAGGTAAGTGACGTACCGCCGTAGTTGGTTGTATTGCTATAAATTAGATCTAACCTCTCCTAATTTAACATGGATAACGTGTATGTTATTGAGCTGGATACAAGAATACACTTTTAATTTCTGTAAGAGATAAGTGATAACAGACAAACGATAACTGATAAGAGATAACGTATCGATACACTGATAAGAGTTAAGTGATAAGAGATAACGTATCGACACGGATATATTATATAATTAACTACTAAATGAATATGTTATTGAGCTAGATACAAGAAATTTCGTGTCGCGTTGTACTTTCAATTTCACATTAGAGATAAGCACGGATTTTTTTATAACAAACTAGATTGCTAAGTGTACATGACGCCAATAGTGATAAATGAAGTTACCATTTTCCTCCATCCTTGTGGGAATTGGAACCATATCACGTGTTTATAACAATTACAAGTTAAGTTGATAGCACAGAATCACAGGTGTATAAATAGTATTTTATACTCACAAAAATGGCTGACGTCGACTTCAATTCTTATCACTAGTTAGCAATCTAGTTTATTATATATATTTATATATATATATAAAAAAAGTGTAAATAAGGAATTAGAGATTCGCGGTAAGAGATAAGAGACCAAAGATAAGTGATAAGAGATAACATATTCATGATTTAATGTTTTTCCGTGGAGCGAAGAAAATAACTAGGTTTTTTTTTTATTAAAACCTAATATAGAATAGAAAATAGCACAACAGCTATATAGTAAATTATAATCATTGCTCTATTTTAATATATATTAACTGAAAATGAGAATTGATTGATAAATTTGTGTGTTAAACATACAAGTTCAATGAAAGAACCAAAATTCAGTAGATTTTTCCTATTTTGTAGCGTGCAACACGACGACATAGGAGCTCATATAAACGTAGGCCGTACTTACAACCATCTGAAAATGTACAAGGAAGCGGAAGACGCCTATTTAAAGGTATTGAACGCGAATTGAAGGATACCGCTGTCCGCATTGGCGCAACTCTGAGGGCTAAGGAAGTTCAGACCTTTTAAAAACTCTGAAAGCTTACCCAACTTTACTTGGAGGCTGTGTCCGATTGTTTGCTGACATTTTTTTAGAGCCCGAACAAGTTCACAAGGGTTTGAACTTTCCTAGCCAGTAAAAATAAATAATTTCGTTTTTACTGATTTCGCATCATGCTTGGGTGGGTGTGTTTAGGCCAAGTCGTTGCTTCCCAAAGCCAAGCCCGGCGAATCTTACCAGGCCCGGATCGCTCCTAACCATCTGAACGTGCTGCTGAACTTGGCCAACCTCATAGCCAAGAACCAGTCGCGGCTGGAAGAAGCCGACATGCTCTACAGGCAGGCCATCAGCATGCGGTCCGATTACACGCAGGCGTACATCAACCGCGGCGACGTTTTGCTCAAACTCAACCGGACGAAAGAGGCGCAGGAGGTGTACGAGAGGGCTTTGTTCTACGACACCGACAACCCGGACATTTATTACAATGTAAATAATAATGTGTTGTTGTGTCTTAATAAAATCTAACCTCTCCGTTGTTTACTGACATACACAGCTGGGCGTGGTGCTTCTGGAACAGGGTAAACATTCCCAGGCGCTGGCGTACCTGGACAAAGCGTTGGAGTTCGATCCGGACCACGAGCAGGCCCTGCTCAACTCGGCCATACTGCTGCAGGAGCTGGGCCAAGCCCACTTGAGAAAACTCGCCGAGAAACGGTTGCTGAGACTGTTGTCGAACGTGAGGCGGCTCTTGAAACCGGTTTGTCTTACGATTGATATACCTAATATTATTGTTTGTGCGCCATTTCAGGGTCAAAAAAACGAGCGGGTCTTCTTCAACCTAGGCATGCTGGCCATGGACGAGGGAGACGTGCCCGCGGCCGAACACTGGTTCAGACAGGCCATCTTGATCAAGGAAGACTTCCGGGCGGCCCTGTTCAACTTGGCGCTGTTGCTGGCCGACGACCACAGGCCTTTGCAAGCGGCGCCCTTCTTGAACCAGCTGGTCAGGTTTCATCCGGACCACGTCAAGGCGCTGATACTGTTGGGCGACATCTACATAAACAACATCAAAGACCTAGACGCCGCCGAAAACGTGAGTGCCGCCAACAGCTCCGCTGGAAACACGACAGTTTGGCCAACACAACTAACTCGCTCGTGCAATATTATTGTTTCAGTGTTACCAACGAATACTGCAGCTGGACCCTGACAACACGCAGGGCATGCACAACTTGTGTGTGGTGTACGTGGAACGGGGTTTGCTGAAAGAAGCCGAGCTGTGTCTGCAGAAAGCCCATCTGATGGCGCCGCACGAAGACTACATAGTGAAGCATTTGAAAATCGTGCAAAACCGTTTGCAGGCCAAACAGACTCCGGACGAACTCAAAGTGAGAAACTTTTTCTCTTCTTACACCTCATCTACTCTTCCAAGGAGCCAGTCAAAAATAACTGTGGTTCACTTGAAAAAAAAAAAGTTTATTTCTTATGAAATATACTTGTTTACATTTTTTTAATACCAATTATTCAAATTTATTTTTTAACCAACAGTAAAAGAAGTTTTTGAACGAATTTGACCCTTTTTCATAAACAAATGAGTTACACTAAACTCTTTTCATAAATAAAATTACTAAATCATAAACAGGATTGTGGTGTGCATCAAGAGTGATGTGTAAACCAAAACTACTTTACCAATACATTTTATTATGACTTTTAAAATAATTTATATAAATCACTGTATAGGAACTTTTTTCCTGACCTTATCACCTTTCATAAATAAACGTATCAAATATGGGTTTATATACCGAGAAAATACCAGCAATATAACATGTTATTATTTTTGTTACAGCAAGAAGAGAAGAGTCGACCGGAGTCAAAGGAGATCCGCAAAACCGAAAAGGAGGACACTACCAGGCCTGACCCCAACCTCAAGTCAACCAAACCGTCTACGCTGTCGTTGTCGTAAACGACTGTAGAAAAGAAACTGAATACTTTATATATATACATAGATACGTATATTTTTGTTTAAAAACAGTTAAGTAAGTGTATACTAAACCCCTGTCGTCGTCTCTCTGCCAGTCTCTAAGCTCTCTATCCCCTTTCCATGACATTGTTGCTCTGATTCCTGTAACGCTTAAAAACGATTAATCGCAATCGGGTAAAACGATCAAATCTCCAAGACAATTTCCTTAATATTCTCGAGTAACTGTAAGTCGCTCCATTCGAATGCAAACGGTGTGTTGGTGCTAATATCGTAGACAACTAATTGTGTATCCGCAAATATTGCGTTATCGTACTTGCCTCGTCGGTACGCTGAAAATAAAATATGTTCTTTTCCCAAAGAAAAAAAATCACCGAAACGCATAGTTAATCTTACGAGATAAGATGATAATATTTTCTTTCTTAAATGTTTATTTTGAATAGTATTTCGAACGAAATAATAATTTTAAAAATATTTATATATATATTATATAAAATAAAAATCGTGCTGTGATGTATTTAGTAGTTTGTAGGATGATAAAAATATGTGTATTATTTAAAAAAAGTGTTGAGAATGGCTTAACACCACAGTAATGGCCGTTTCCAAATAATTTACATTTAACGAGCATTTATTTTCTATTGTCAATTTTGAAAAAGTATTCAAACGTTTTTTTTTCTGTTATTAAATTATTATTATTTTATCTCTACATAAAGTCTATACGTTACTAACTCGAGTACGGCAAGATCGATCTCGGAAATTGTTTCTCGTGTTCATTTATTTGTCAACATTTTAACATGTTTTTATTTTTTTTTGTTTCATCAAAGTACTTATAGCAGAAATGCGTTTTTAGTGTGCTTAAAATTATGTATTTTTTTTTTTTTTATACTACAATTTTATTTTTTTTTATTATAAGTTTGAATTTTTTATATTTGATTTAAATTATTTTTTACAAGAGTATTGCGAGTAATCAAACGTTTGTGCTTTAATTTTGTACATTCAATTTGATTATACTTACGGACAATCAACGTGTTTTTCCTCGGTGTGTTACATAGAACAAAACTTAAGGTCTTTTCACGTCTTTGTACCTGTGGTCCTACCATTTCTTTTAAAAAAAAACAAAACTATGTTCCTGTGAATTGTGGGGAAATAAAAACTTATATAAGTACCGAAAATATTATTTTCAAATAGTATTATTTTTCGTTTTTTTTTTTCAAACTTGTACTTGGCGTGGTCTAAGCGTATTAGGTTTAAAATAATTATTTGATGTTGACGGATGTAAAATTATTATATATTATAGGTATTACTACTAAGCAAGATTGCGCTATTTGATGTGATTTTTTTTTTTATTTTATGTTTTATATGGAAAAAGTGAAAAATAAAAACCGTTTTTAATAACGTCGTTTGTAATAATTTATTTGGTCGCCCCACAAATCCTAAAATATGGGACATTGTTTGCTAAAATTCCACCGCAAATCCTTTGTTTAATAATGTTTATGCCGGCGAATCGTATAGGCAATTTCGATACACTTGTGTCGACGATACACTAATAATTGTATTGTATTGTGTACCTGATTACTGCCAAAAGACATTGTTCTTATTGAAAATCTAACGATCTAGGCATAGATTAAATAGTATGTTTAATCTACACAGTTCAGGCTGATTAAATATATTGTACACTGTTCAGCTTTGTACCGAAGAGCATATAGCAGTAGGTCTTCTAGTCAAACCAATGGCCACCTTCTTGAATTAGGGTTCAGGAAGATTGATCATTAAAAGCTAACTGCACAGTTACACCACGGAGGTAATTTAAATAAAGTTCCATTGTGTCTTCGTTCACACGAAATCTGTGCTGTAATTATTATTTATTACCTATTTAATTACAGATTATCTTATTATCCGTATAATTGTATTTTTTTGTAAATTAAGACTTAAAAAAAAACTCATGTTTAGGTGAAGAGGAACTCGATAGTTTAATTTTCAAAACAGGTAATAAGTAGTTTTTTTTGCGAATTTTGAAAAGCAACATTGGTATTTTATAGTAGTTGTTTTGTTAACTACACTAAAATCATTTATAAGTATATATACTGTACCTATGTATACAGCTAAGCTACCAGAGGCCGGGCGGGTCTTTGGTACAGAAAATCAAACCTAAAGATCACAGAATGATGGGTGAATGATAGGCCACATGAAATACCAGAAAAACCATGGGAACTCCCATGAACCGTTAGATTGGAATACTGCAAGCCGAACGCTGCCGTTGAATGCTGTTATTTTTATTTTTATTATTGGATTATCGTAAGCGACATGTCAAAGGGACAACATAATAGTAAATATTGTAACTTAGGCTTACTTACTAGTACTTACTTGTATCATTAGCGTACACGTTTCATAGAGTTTAAATATTGTTTGTGGTTACGTAGAACCTGGCATGTATGTGGACGGAGGACGGTCGCCAAAATGTCGTCGAGCAAAACTGAAGCATGATAGGTAAACACAAACAATTTATTTACTAATTACAATAATTAGCAAATCACTTTTGATACGTTATAATTCACTCAACAGACGAAGACTGTTGTCCATTCCATTGCCTAGCCGAAAACTTTGAAGATGTAATAAGATCTAGTAAAACAATTTTAGTTATTCTCGCTAACATTTATGATAAACATACAATATGTCTGATAAATATTGTTGGATAAGTATTCAAGTTGTTTGAAAAAGCTATTGAAAGTGCTTAAGATGTATTTTACAATTTTACGACATCAATCTTGAACCGATAAAAAAATATGGTAAAAACACTTATAAATAACATCCAGAATTTTAACCATTTTATTACGCGGGTGCACATACAACTCGTTAATCTAAATTTTTAAATTAAAAAAAAAATGTTAAAATATCCATTTTCACCTTTAAACACATGTTCAAAGGAAATAACAAAATAAACTGAATATTTTAACACATAAAATAGTAAACTTTAAAGACATTTGGTTGCATTCAAGATGATGACAATAATTGCTTTTAAATGCATTTTGTAGCTAAAATATATATATTATATTATACAACCGTTTAAATTTTAGTGTCAAAATAACTATAACTATAAAACAAAAACCATTTAACTAACTGGATTTTATAATAAAATTTAAGGTAAATCAGTTGAGTGTTATAATAAGACTAGGATGCTTTATTTAACAATTTTGTACAAAGCACAAAGATTAAAATTTAAAAATAGAAAGAAACAAGGAACCAAACACAAATACTTAAACGTTAAGTTAAGATTTAAATTAAAGTGTACGTTATGTTAAGTAGTTTAGTCATTTTTTGTCCGCAAACAAACGTAATTTTGATGTTCCAAAAAAAAAATGCACATTTTGTATAGATGAACATACTTGGCAGTAAATCATTTGATGAGATGATGAATGAAATTTCGACAAAAAAACAAATATTTTCAACTCGATGAAAGCAATACATATCTAACATTAGCTAATGACTAATACTTAATATCACAATTTGGTAAAAAAAAAAAAAAATAAATAAATACATTAGCAAATAATAATTGTCACTATGTTAGAGCTACGCCTTGGATCCAAGAACTCAAATCTAAGTCTGCACACTCGAGCGGCTTATCTTCACGCTGAGAAATCAACAACATTTCGGCTGCTGCGCGGCCCGACAGATAAGCTCCGTGGACAGTAGAGTAAAAATTTGGATGCGTGTGCTCACCGGCAAATGTTATCACAGGCTAAATAAATAATAAATACAGCATATTAGCAGTTGTTTTTCTCAAAATTGTATAATATTCAATACATACAGTTTTATTGTTATTGACGTGCATTGGTCTGGCAATGTGTTCAATATCTAATTGACTAGAACCAACTCCAATGGCTGTGTACGAACCACGGCTAAACTCATCAGCTTTCCATCGAGTGCTATTGGAAAATAAGCGAATGAGTAACTTCGTAATAGGCACACATTTAAACCACGGTCAATTTACTATCAAACTACTTACCACAAACATTTTGCCGGAAACGGCACGCAAGAATCTTTTAAAAACGTTCTCAAGATTTCTGTGCATTTATCTCCAATAGTCTTGTCGTCCAGTTTCTCCATAGTTTCAGCCTCCACACCAGATATCCAGCCCAACAGCAATGTATCGTTGACTTTTGAAAAACTGTAAATCTTTTCACTCCAATCGCCCATTCCGTCGTCGTCGTCCCACAACAACAATATCTCATCCACGTCTTTGCTCAAAAACGGCCGGTCGTAATATAAAAATATCTTATTCACAACACCATACAGCAGTCGGGCAATGGATTTTTCTTTATATTTAGGTAACTTAGGACAGAATATATCGCAGGACTTGAGTACGCCCAACGGCAGCGTGCATATTATACTGTCGGCCGAGTAAACCTTATCCTTGCAATACACGTAAACCGTTTCGTCGGTAACGTCCTCGCCGCCCACTTCAATGACTGTCTTGTCCGAGTCGTCAGAGTCTGCAGCGTTGTCAATTCCCGATGGCCATTTGATTTTCGTCACTTGACAATTGGTTTTTATACAGTCGGATGATAATTTACTACAAATAGGGTCTAGAATACTACTATATCCGCCAGGCAGTGCAATGTTGCCACCCTGCAACTCCTTATAACTTCCCAGCTCGATGAGGTCAATATCTATCATGCTATTGCATCCGGTAATACACGACTCTCTTTTCAATAAACAGTTGAAAATCAATCGCTGCAGTTTACGAGTGTTAGCGTTTTGTACTTTGTCCAAGTAAATTGCGATTTCTAGTTCAACATGCTCGCCGACACTGTAAATACCAGGTGGTGGATCAAAGGCACCAGTAAAGTAATCTTCGCATCGTCGTAAAAAACACATATATGCTCCGTAAGTTTCCTTAAAAAAAAAAATTATAAAAACCAATAATATGAGGCGTACGACAAAGCATGAAAAAATTTCCCAAACATTGCATATGATATGCGCATTTGTTATGATGCAAACACGGGTTCATCTATCGCAAAATGCACATGTACTTTATGAAATGTGATGGTGCGAAATGGGCCTAATTAATCGATCAAAAGACATACTTGTAATAACGAAAATGGAATCCTTGATCCATTTGTTGTTGACGCAATAATACTTGGCATTTTAGGACGATGAGTAATATCCACTAGTCCGTTGGCCATAGCTAACTCGTACATTGGATTTCCCAACACACCGTGAATCCAATTAGCGCCGAGTTCGACTTGTTGACCGTCTAAAAATATATATATGAAAGAGAAAAAAATAGTAAATGCTAATCAACTATACAATTAAGAAATTGTGTTTTTATAGAAATTACAAAATTCAATCAATCTTTCCAGTCGGACCATAGTGATTTAAATAGGTGTATATTAAGTGACTAAATTAAAACTATATTGTAATATTTACTTATTTCTGTAGCGTAAATCCGTCCACCAATACGATCCTGAGCTTCTAATATAATAAAATCTTTCATATCGTGTTGGGATAGGTGTGTGGCGGCTGCTAAGCCAGCAATCCCGGCTCCAATAATTATAACTTTGTGTTTTGATACATCTGGTATTGGATCACCCATAATAATCAGTCTTCGAGTAATCTGCAAAATATATTTTCAAATCATAAATTAGATCAAGCGTTTATAAAGCAACTAATATTGTCTATTAAACAAAATTGGAATATCAACATTTTATTAATTTAAATTAATAAGTTATCATGTCAAACACCAATGGCAGAATCCTGATTTTTTTTTGTTTTTTTACTATGAATTGTAATAATAGTTAATAATTAGGTAAGTAGATAACTATCAAAACTTGATTTTAAAATTATTAGGAAAATTGTGATTTTTTTCCAAAGATAGCTGAAAAGTGTCAACACAACAATGAAACTGACACACGTTGATACTAACTACAAGTAGATAAAATAACTCCCTCATACGTCATTATAAATTATCTAACTAACTAGACAATGTTTATGTAACATAATATTAAAATTCCTTCACAATCAACTGTAGTATTAGGTAATCGAGTATTGCTACAATACCATGCACATGAGGTTTGAGAATACCAACATTTATGTTCAAATAAAGAAATAGTGTACTATTTTATTACTGCATTATGTACAAAATATCAAGTTTCTACATGCTAAAATTAAAAATTAATTTAAAAAAATTAAGAACAAATTTATTTATACACGTTTTAAAGGGTACGATAAACAAGGCAAATATGATTTAATGATCAAACCATGCATTGAATGTGTTTAGAAAAGTAATTTTACTATTTATGGTAATTTCAAGCGTAAACGAAATACGGTCTGGACGTAAATAACCGTAAATAGGTGAGATGTTACTTACACGGTGGTGGTCAGCTGAAATAAATAATAAAATTACAGTATTTTGGCTACATAGTCGCGCAAAGGCTAGTGGAATTTGAACGAACAGAAATACTGGCGACACATTTTTATTTTAAAATTATCCAAGTATCAAAATATTAACGAGCAATTTAAAATTTGAATAAATACAATTTTAATACATAATAATAATAATAATTTTATATTGAAAAAATAGTTTGATAACACAGCAACGGAGAGACGTGATAACAATCTTATCGACTTGTATTTATCCCACGACAATCTGGTCACACTGTGGCGGCAAAAAGCACTTTAACCACGTCGGCGTGACCATAAGGTTAACCCCAAAACTATCCGATTTGCTCCATGTTATCATATTAAGTGTTGTTATCAGTAATTGAAGAGGAACCGCTTGCCGCGGCTACAGGCTACTCGGCTATAAGTAAATTTGTCATTTCGTTATCCGTGATAGGTAGGTATCTCTAAATGACTCCGGATTGATTACCCTCAACTATCACAATAATTATTTTGCTTTTCGTGTATGATGTGCAAATAAATGTTTTAAGTATTTTATGTTTAACCTGTTCCGGTAGATAGAAATATTTTTCGCTCGATCATAGCTCAGTCGTGTGTTAACCAAAGTACGGACGTTAGTTCAGCCGCTGGTTCGCTAGCTCGTACACATGTGAAAGCTGTGAATTTTTACTTTTGTGGTTTTCATAAAACCGTTGTTTTAATTATCCGTCAAACTGTTAAATAAGTCAACATGAATTTTACCAGAGTTGCAAAATTCCACCTACGCCGTTATGATAGTAAGTACATAGTATTCAAAGGTCGTGCGTGTTCAATTAACTCCCCTTGTACAATTTATAAATCATATTAAAATAGGCTTTTGGCAACTCTATCTTTTTTTTTTTATTTGTTATTATTACAGCAGTGTTCTATTCAAGGTTACTACCGTTATCATTTTTCGAGTACCCCTTGTTTTGTCTGTAATTATTGATAAATTTGAATTTGATTAATATTAAACTTTCAAATAAGTATCTATAAAAACTGGTTCTTGTACATAGAAATATTAAATAAACTATTATTGCAGTACGTGCACTCGTATATGTAAAACAAATTTGGAGTAATCACAACTATAATTATTTACATTTCTACGAATTCAATTATTCCAAATTGTCACATCAATTATTTTTAAATCAAAACAAACATGGCTAAGACTGTAATTAAATATTAGATACCATTATGTACAATAAATATAAAAAAAACTTTCAAATCATTGTTTCTCTATGTTTTAAATCTTATTTTAGAACTTAAATTGCACCATAAGTTGCAAAATTTTGTTTGACTTTTTGACACAAGTTAAACATAGCTTTTCTGTAAAGGAATGAGTAATGGGATTGTGAATTATTCACTTTAAAAATTCAGTGGAATGTACCTAATAATAGCATTAGCATTGACGAGCATTAACTGTATTACGCTTCCCTACTTGACTTAAAGATTCTTACAAATTATCATCTTTCAATCGGTATTTCAACAGAATACCTACTATTATTTTATTTAAAAAAATAAAATCAATTCTTATTAGATAATAACAAATCAGTAAAATAAATCTCGAAATTGCAGAGTTTTACAACAAATATTTTTTTATTTACTTTTTTGAAATATTAGTTAGGTTATTATTGGTAAATTGCAATGTTGGTTAGAAAAGCAGATAAGAAATGGAAGGTCAATGTAGGTTATTAGGTACATCAATTAGGGCATTTATAGCTTCTTCGTTAATTACAATTTTCATGGGTTGATCCTTGTTTTAACTTGTTATGTTAATTGAAGCGTGCACAATCTCAGTTTTTATAACCTTTTAAATCGTAGTTGCGCCGAATTTTAGCTAAATCCAAAAGTGAGAACTTGCGCCCCTCCGAAATATCAATGATGCTGCTCTAAGTAGACATTAAACAAAAAAATTAAAAAATAGTAAACATATTCACCTAAAATAAAGTGAAAACAAAATAGTATTTTGTTATTATTGTAATTTTAAAAGAAAATAATTAATAGCATTAATATTTTAATTCTATTTGTTGTAACTCACAAAATTATAAAATCGGAGTTATTAACAGAATATAATTTTTCCCCGTTTTATTTAGAAAATAATGGCCAACCATAATTTGGCCAAAATCGTCAATTTTTATTTTTTTGTTACCTATATGACTAGTGAAAAAAATATAATATCAACTGACCCTCCTTTGTTTTCATTTCCAGAATCTTACATAGTACTCAGTAACAATTACATAAGATCTCTTCACACTGAACAATGGAGGTGTACAAAAAGTTTAACCTGCTCCAATGTTGCTTTACATCAGCAGCATTCAACCAGTCATTCGTCGGACAAACTAGTATTTTCAAACCCTTGCATTCGTGGGTTGGCCACAACTCCGTTTCGATTTTCAGAAAAACCATCTTCAAGGATTGAAGAAACTGTTAATGCAGTAAAAGAAAAAGCGCAGAAAGAAACTGAAGGTTCAATTTCGACAGTTAAGCCTAAAAAATCACTGAAACAAAAAATTATGGATGAAGTGATGCATTACTATCATGGTTTCAAGCTGTTAGGACTCAACATCAAAATATCATTCGTGTTAGCTATCAAAAAAATAAGTGGTAGAGAACTTACCAGGAGAGAACACAATTTAGTAAGTATTAATTAAAGTTGTACAGTTTAATCACAATAGCAATGTATTGTTATAAATTATTTTTTATCATTCATAAAAATAACTGTGGACAAATTTTTTTGTAAAATGTTGATAAAAAAAAAATTGTATTTAAATTTGAATTACATTTTGTGTTACCATTTCTTTTATATTCAGCTTGTATAATTTTTATGGATATGAATGGATAAAAATAATTTATATTATCTTCACTTAATTGCATTTTTTACATTAGTAATTTTATTACCTATGTGTTAAATAAATATTATTTATTATTATAAAAATGTTATTTAGAAATATTAATTTTCTTTTTGTTAATAATTACAGTTAGTTCAAACCATGGCTGATCTCTTCCGGCTGCTGCCTTTTTCCGTATTTATAGTTGTTCCATTCCTCGAATTTGCGCTACCAGTTTTTATTAAATTCTTCCCTGGAATGCTACCAACGACTTTCCAAACGACACTTGATAAGGTAAACTAAAGGTTATTTATATATATTTTAAATCCCCAATAAAATTCAGTAAATTCCCTTGTCTTCTCAATTATTTAAAAAAAAAAAATCTGCTTACATGTGAAACATGTTAAATGCAAGTAAAATGGCTACATGCTAAAACAGATGGTTTTGGTTGGTAGCTGCATTTAACTTTAAACTGTTATGTTTGAGCTTTTTTTTGTAATATGTAATATGAATTGATTAATAATATAAGCTGCAATATGTTATAGGAAACCAAACTCAAGCAATCCTTAAAGGTCAAATTAGAAATGGCTAAATTTCTACAGGAAACCCTTGACAATATGTCTGTATCGGGGAAGGGACATACATGCGAGTCTGCCAAGGATTTTGCAGATTTTTTCGCTAATGTATTTATTATTATTACTAATATAATAATATTGAAATACATTATAATAAAATATTACAGGTAAGAAAGGAAGGCACTGTAATATCGGCTGATGAAATACTGAAGTTTTCCAAATTGTTCAAAGACGAAATTACTCTCGACTCACTTCCTCGTCCTCAGTTAGTTGCACTCTGTCGTGTACTTGAACTGCGGCCAATCGGAACATCAAATTTTTTGAAATTTCAGTTACAACTTAAACTTCGATCACTGGCAATCGATGATAAAGTATAAAAGAAAATTATCATGCATCATTATTATTATGACAAGTGGTAATATTATATAAATGATTTATGATAATTTAGATGATTCAAAAAGAAGGTGTCGACTCTCTGACTTTGAGTGAACTCCAACAAGCGTGCAAATCACGAGGAATGCGTGCCTACGGTCTTACTGAAAAACGTTTACGCCAACAGCTGACGCAATGGCTTGACTTGTCGTTAAATGAAAAAGTGCCTCCGTCGTTGCTTCTACTTTCAAGAGCATTTAGTTTTACAGAAAATATTCCAACTAGTGATTTATTGAAGAAAGCTATTTCTTCGTTGCCCGAAGCTGTTGGTGTATTCACTGAAGCTGACTTAGGTGAACGGGAAGGCACAATAGACAACAAAGCTAAATTACAAGCCATTAAGGAAGAAGAACGTAAGGTTAAGGAAGAAAAGCAAGAGCATTTGGAAGAAAAACAAAAAGAATTGGAAGCTGCTAAAAAGAAAGAGTTGGATGATGCCAAAAAAAGAGAGTCGGATGACGCCAAAAAGATTAGTGTCAAAGAAGAACTAATTGACAGCGCACCAGTTATAACTGATACAACTGGAATTCAACTAAAAGAAGTAATTATACTATTACAATTTCATGTACATTTACACAAATTGTTTTTATAATAATAAAACATTGTGTATACTACTATTATTAGGAGGAAGTATCGTCTAACGATTTGAGAACTCTAGAATGTGCTATTGAAAATTTGGAGAAGAAAAAGCTACTCGTTGAAAAGGAGGAAATCAAAGAACTTAAAGATGAGCTTAAAGATTACCAAGAAGTGGGTTTTAAATTTAAAAAACAATATGATATAATTCTTAAGTGTTCTTAGCAATTTAACAAACCATAAAAGTATTGCAAGTTTGCAAATTTTGAAGTTTAATAACTTATAACAACTTTTCCTATTAGTATTTCTTTTTACACAACACCCGTATAAATTATTTCATAAATTAGTTAATTTAAATTCCAGTTAAAACATTAATTACAGAACTATAGAACTAATAATGTCTATAGGATTTATGTATAATAATATTATTGAAGAAGAAAATAATTCTGGAACGCTTTTTTTATGATTTCGTTAATCTAATCGACCTCGTAAACAACAAAAGCAATCTGTCTTTGAATAAAACCAATTAAAATATATTATAATATACCTATATTTGCATTTTCGTCTTAGGATGTACAAGACCTACAAGATGTAATGAAAACTGAGAAGAAAGAACAGGTCAGAGAGTCTAAAGCAGCTAAAAGATTGTTCAAAAAGGTTAACAACATGATCAACAAAATGGACTTTGTCGTTCAAAATTTGGAAAAGAAAGAAAAAGAAATCAAAAAAGATATAGAAACAAAAGATACTGTCGAAGAAATAAAAAGTCAAGAGAGGTTGGATTTAATGTTTTAACAACCATTCATATTGTTATTGATTATATTATAATGTATGTATTTATAAAACAAATTTATTATTATTTCAGTGAATTGATCAAAATTGACGAGATAATAGGGGCGGTAAGAAAACTGCAAAACGTCCCAGACGAGTATAAACTCCAACAAATCAGTGAAGTATTGAGTAAAATAGATGATGATCGAGATGGATCCATTCGATTGGACACCGTATTAAAAGTATGCCATTTGTACTTAATAAAAATCAATTTGTGTAAAATTTCACGTATAAATTGTTGTTGTTTTTAGGTATTGGAATTAATTGGTACAGAAAAAGTTAAGCTGTCTGCTAAAGAAATGGACATGATTACTGGGCTTGTAATGAAAGAAGAGGAAATGGAAACCATGGAAAAGCTGAACAAAGTACAAAAGTCGGACAAAAATGACGACAAGCAGATATTGCCTAAGACTGAGACGGTGTCAAAAAAAATAATCACTTCGGCAATTATCGATTCCGAAATAGTCTCAGATAGAAAAATACCACCACTACCACCGACGAGTACAACAACAAAAATCGATGAATCCAAAAAACTCTGAATTCTAAATTATAATTGTAATATGTTATAATAATTTCAAAGAGTTTAAATTTGTCGTCGTTAAAAATTATAAATGTGATATTTATTTTAATTCATTTCTATAGTGTTAATGTGATGCAATCCTTTGTTTTTCTCCCTTCTGTTTATTAATAAATTATGCTTACGCGTTTAGATAAACAAAACATCTGAATATATTTTTATTGTTGTGGTTGATTATGTACATTTATAATAAATGACAATTTTAGTATTGAACATATTTTATGTTTATTTCAAGTTGTTTTTTTTTTTTTTTTTAGTTGACAAGTACTTTTTATTATAAATATTTTAGTTATTTTTTAAATAAAAGTTTTATAATTATTTAAGTAACAAATATGTTCAATTAATTATGTCATTTATCAATGTACTGGAGAGACAATAATATACCTTTACACTTAAAAAAATGTAATATCCCAATTACATATTTTTTAAACGTTGGAACTTTGATGTTTAACATAATTATTTTGAACTGATTGATAAATTCGTTATCAATAAATTTCGAATTTGTTTGTAATCGGAGTTTAACGATAAAGTCATCAAAATTAAATTTAATTTGTCATCATTGTTTTTTCGCGTACAGTCCATTAAACATTTTTTCGGTAGTGATTTTCTGGTCAAATAGTAGGTAAGTTATTAAGTATTAATTAATGGTAATTAATAAATGCCATTTGGTAGGGTTAATAATTAAGATTTAGACTTTGAGACCCTGGTTTTGCCGAACTCTGTCTTTACTACAGATTTGTAAACTGCAACTTGTAACAGGAAATTTAAACAATTAATAATGGTAACAAATAGTTACTTTATGCAAATTGGAACATTCTGTAAGTGTACGCTAATGCGAAATTCGGTCTTTGTCTTTTAAATAGAGGCTCATTTGACTTAAAGGAACTAACGAAGGCAATAGAATTTAATTCTGTTGTAAATTTGAATACCTACCCTTTTAGAGTATTTTTTTATTAATAACTAAATAGGATATATCATTAGTTCTGATATATATATACAATGATTAATTGTTTTACGAAAAAAATTATAGCTATCCAGCTAACTCTTTTTTATATTTCTTTTAAATCGTAACTCATACCAAAAAATATCTTGTTATAAAATAAAATTGTTGTGGTTTACTGGTTTGAATAAAATTTGCATTGTGTGAATGCACGTTTCAGTTTAATAAAAATAACTAATTATTTAAAATATTTATTATATGGTCATATCTTTTGAAAAATTAAACTATTCATTGTTTGATAAATCAGGATGTTTTAAAATTTCAACACCCAGTTTATCAGCAGAAATGCTAGTGTTAAAGAATAGTCTACCAGCCAAGTTTGAATTTGAAGACTTAAAAAACCAATGTAACCAAAGTTCGTTTACAAATTTCTAAATAAAATTCCTTCTTAGTTTCACTAAGCCAACTAATAATTGTAAAATTATAAAAAAAAAAAATTTAAGAAGTCTAATATCTTCCAAATTATTGACTGGTTCATAGTCAAAAACGGGTTTGTTTCCATTAAAAAATGTTTTATTTAAACAAAATAATTATTTACATTTTTATGTAAAATCCAAATGGCCCTTATATCATTTATTAGACTGTTAGATCTACTTAATAATTGTAATTTTTTAGAACTTTTTTGATACGTTAACATTTACAAAACTAAAGCAAAAAATTTTAATTAAAATACACAGTATAAATTAAATATTTAAAGGGATTGCATGTAATTTTTTGGATGACTTGTATAAACTTCGAGGTATTATTTCTAATTTATATCATTTTTAATATGAGTAAAAGTAATTTTGGCTTATTTTATAACAAAAAGCTAGACGAAATTTCTTCTACATAGAATGGTCCAATTTCAATTCTGTAAAGATATTCGAGTTTTTTGGCTACTATTATACCTAATTCTATTACATAAATAAGCAAAAAATCAAATATCTGTTTCCTACATAACCTAGTAAAGGTGTCAATAAACTCGTACATCTTAACAGAATAAATTGAAATCGGACAATCTAAGTAGTCGAAATTTTGTCTAAAACCTGAATTTTCAGAAGACACGAAACCCAAATTATGTTTGTATAGTACGCACAAGATACTTTATTTTTTTAATTTATTCTTAATAGAAGCTCTAGCATTTGGGAGAATTTATCACATTATTATGGCAAATTTTTTTTCTTTGAATCCAGGGGTACCAAAAACTCAAAATTGTAAATTTATACATAACACATAAGATGTTTTTTTTTTGGTTCAATGACAATTACGGTGCAACGTGCATACATAACGGCCAATCTAAATTATTGTAATAAATAATAACAATAAAATAATTTAAAAAAATAAAATATGCAAAAACCTTATTATGATCACATTGTGTTTACGGTATTATCGTGTTATACAATATTATGGTGCTTGGAGTTGTTCTGTAGATGTACCTACAGAAAACCGTTGATGTGATAATAATATAATATAATTTTCACACAAACATCTTTTTCCAAAAACCCAAAATCTGACAATATTATAATTAGCAGTTCAATCCACAGCAGTATTTTCGTCAATCTCTTCATGTTGTTCAGGCTTGCTCGGTTGCACGACTCAAATTTAATTCTTAGAAGCTAAATTTTTCACAAATAATAGAATTATACAATTTACACGACGACCCGCGACGGTGAAATCAAAATTTAAAACTAAAATTATTCCAAATCACGTTTTATATCATTTTTTTTAAATTATAGTTTATCTGTCTGACTATGGCGACCACGATATAAAAAGGCGTAAGTAACGGGCACCAACAATTTTTTTTTGTCAAATTTACTCAAGTTTGATCATTTTTACTCACACTACATTATTTATAGTATATTATATCATATAGTTAACCAAACGCGGCCAAAAATTTAATTCCGTATGAATTATTAGTAATAAGCTGTTCGTTTAATAGAAGACTTCTTACTAACGTAGAAATGTTGGACGTAGTTTCACAAAAAAAATAACAATTCATTTTAATATTGTAAGTAAATCAATGTCAAGTGTAATAATTGTTTTTTCACCTAACGAACGCGTTTATTGAAAACCTTGATTTTTCTTGATAATTAAACTATTAAAAATTGATACAAAACCAGTTTTGTCCAATTGAACCTTGCAAAAAATAAACTGTTACCAAAACAGTTGTGATTGGAATAGGGTGAATTTTAAGCATTTTTATGTAGGCAATATTAAAAAAAAAAGTGGCTTTAATAAATTTCGACCATATTAATTTATTCTCAGGTTTCAGCGTATTAGTTTCATACATAGCATAAACAATGTTTTTTATGAGTTAAAGGCATTTTAAACCAATTTAGACCTAAAAGCCTGGAAGGAAAATTACACCTACTTAAAACGATCGAATTTTAATTCTGTAAAAATATTTGAGCTAATCGTCTTTTATTCCACGTTATTGTGGAAGTCAATTTTTTAATAATTGTTTCATTTCCTTTTAAAAAAAAAACAAAGAAGTGAATACATCTTTTTCGAGTTATGTATTATAACTTTGCATTGTTTATATATTTTTTATATTAAAGAAAACCCCTGTCTTCTTATGTGTATTCTATAATTTTTTATTGTAATTACATTTTTTAGTAAAAATATTTCACAAAAAATATACATAGCAAGTCTTTTCGATATAAAGAGTGTGTAATATTGAAGTGAGGCTTCTTTAATTTGGACATAATAGCTAATTTTGGCATAGATTTAATCACGACCAGTGTCTGATTATGCGACACTAGAAAGGTCCATAGGCAATTCAAATTGCGGGGCCCTTGCACGTTTTCCCCCAATTGTTTGTGTCTTGTATAAAATTACAATTATAACTATGCAATTTTACCAATAAATAATTAAAAAACATTAGTTTAACTAAAACATATTTTTAATATTCATCAAAAATTATTATACATAGGTATTTAATTTATTATACTTATTATATTTACAATATATAAATATATCTATATATAGTTTGTTTTAAACGCGCGCGCAGTTATGTATTGTAGCCAATTGCGAATGAATGAGAAGTGTGGGTAAGAAGCCAAGCACGAGTGGTAAATATAGACATATATAATATGCGTGTGTGTGTATTTACTTATAGATCATTCTATATACCCTACGTTTTGCATTGACGTAGTTTCACGCGACGACGTGGTAACCAGCGGTAGGACAGTGACCGCGGGCGATCGTCGTAGCTGTGGTATCGTCACAAAAGTCAAGTATTTCGACCAATGCCTCCAAATGGTGTACGCAAAAAAAAAAAAATACCCATATGGTGACAAGAAAATAAAATAAAGTATAATATATATATGTATATTATAAGAAGACAACCGGCCACGCGCCGCAACCGCGCAGCGTAAAGTATATTATGTGTGTTGATACCGAAGCCGTGTCACGGATGTTTCGGTTTCCCTCCAAACGGGCGGGCGCGGTTGGCCACACTGTTTCGCGTCGGGCCGGGTCGGCGGGACGGGGTGATTCCCTCTTGCCCCGCCGCCGGCCGTGGAGAGTTTCGCGCATTCGCCATGCAATGAGAAAAAAAACAAAACACTCAACACTGCGGCCTCGTCCTTCAGTGGGCCCGTCCGTAACATTCTGGGTCGTTGTTCGACTAAACATTTTTTTTTCAAACACATTTTTTAGTTTCTTTTTTAGCTCCCCGTTTGTTTTAAATTTTTTTTCGTTTTTACCGGGCAAAAGACGGCAGCAACGATCGCGAACAACCACTTGATACTTTCGGACCCGTAACGGTTCCACGGGGCCCCGGACCACCGAAAACCAGGGCGGACGAGACCCGCGAAAATCCGATCGGACAATCCCGAAGATAACAACAATTCTTCCCCGTCAAAGGTACGTAAAATATTGGGTTTCTTACACGAGTTGTGAAAGTTTACCAACGTCGTGGACGACGGTTATGCATTGCGCCAAATTTCTGGTAAACGGCACCGCGCCAGCCGCCGTTAGGTCAATATGGCCACCTGGCTGCCGTCGCCGAGTGGTTCGCGCCATTTCTCCCGCGATATGTTTTTTCCTATCACTTGGCTATATTTTGTTTTGCTGTTAAGGATTTTGATTTTTACCGATTAAACGTTTTGATCGCTTTCTCAGCACAACACAATGGTATACACCGTCTTATAATACCAATGTGGTCGATTGCTGCTTCGTCAAGTTGTTTCATTTTAGTTGTCAAGTTGTTTCAATCGCATTTGTGTTCGACGCCTAGTTGTTTTATTTTACCGACCTCCACTGATCGATTTCCATAGTGTAATATCTTAGATTTTTAATTGCATCTGTTCACATGATTTGGAATCTGATTTATTAGCCAATGGCCTCGCATACCTATTTTAAACTTGAACATTTTGGTTAATATTACTACTTAGTATAACAGTGAAATTAGTTATTTTATGAGCTAACTCAGCTTTAATTTCCTGTTCTTACCCTGACGATAACTGATATTAACTTCAGTTTTACTCCATCAATTCTTTATGAATTTTACGTAACCCAACGTTGTTTAAAATGTTACAGTTAAATATTTGATAGTTTTGACGAGAAAATAATTCAGTAATATTATTCGTGTAGATATCATCGAATTTCTCTTTATCAGCTTATCAATAAATAATGTAGTTGGTTATAGCTGTAAAGTAAATATAAGCAAATAAAGATATTGTTCCAGTCAATGATGATTTGAAGTTAGTGTGGCTAATAATATAATGTACAAATCATAAATCTGACTCGGAAAGTGCTTTTCATTATCGGTCTATTATTACATTTAAAAGCTGAGGCGTTTTGAAAGTTGAAACTCTTGTACTGAGTAGTATAAGAATTCCAAATCGTTCGTTTTAATGTAGTAGAAAACTGTATAAACTCAAAATGTTTTAATCACTTTGTTTAAACATAGCATACAAAAATACAACTTTCTCTGATAAGAAAATAGGTGGCAAGTTAAGGATTTTTGTAGAAGAATATAAAAGATTAATGTTATTCTTAAAAAAAAAACAGGTCTATGAAGCAAACACATTATCTTGTAGCAAAAACTGGTAGTTATGCCAGCATCTTAAGATAACCACAAAATAAGTAGCTTTATTTTAACAATGTATTAAATTTAACAATATTACCTTTCTAAAAGATAGATAAAATGTATTGTGTATTATGTAACTATTACTATGAATGTATTCCATATTAATTTAGTGTTTTATTAATAGTGATAGTAAGAATAATTTTATTCTTGACCGAAAAATGAGTGCATATTAATTATGCTACGACTATTAAAGGTATCAATATAAAAGTTGTTTATAGGTTCAATGTATTATTCCTTATTCAGTAAAACTGAGGATTCAATGAAAAGTACTAATGTATGATGAGAGTTAAAAAGTAAGAACATTGTAAAAATTGGAAATTTATAAATTAAAATTACTATTAGATGAACATAGATAACTAAAAACAATCATTAACGTTCCTATATACTCATTCTCTAAAATAAAATGTGTTGATGACCGCTGCCTTTTCAACAATGGTTTCAGTTAAATAGGGTCTTAATTCTAAATTACTCAATTAATATTGAATTGAACAATAATTGATAAATTTTATAGTTTATTGTATTTTAATGTATCAATAATGGATTTAATATATGTCCTTAACAAAATACCAACCTAATATTAATTGAAATTATATTAAATTTAATAACTATATCAATTAAAATTTGGTTATTATTATGTATATATTTTTCCTCTAATAAAGTAGCCTAACTTTAAACAAGTAGAATATTATCAAAAATTAAAATATAACAACTGTATACTATAAGTATTTTTATCCCTTACGGACTGAAACTACACGATCGTGAGGGTTCGGTTAATACATTTTTTGGAGTAAAGGCCTAACCCTCACGATCATGAAAGGGTGGTTTCACCCCTTGGTCCAGCAAAAAGTTGTATTTTATTTTTTAAGTATAATATACCTTTCAAAGACAATAGGTTTGCTAAAACATTTTTTTGAAGTTGGCTAAAAAAAAATTAGATTAGCAATATTTATTTGGGCGCAACCTCATACTAACCAAACATTTATTGTGTCCATGTGTTTAACAATCATGATACCAAAAAAGTATATGGATGGTTTATCTGTTTATATTTAATATAATATGTTATAATTAAACAATTGATAATTGTTGCGTTGCCAATACCGCACTCTTTGTAATTTCTAAGAGTATGAGTTAATGTTAATAATGAAGAAACTCTTATTATAATTAGATAATTTAACTAAGACATTCTTAAATTTCCTAAATTAAAAAATGGGTTATTTTTAAGATTTTATATTATGTAAAAACGATGCAATAATACCTAATTATTAATTATTATTGTTTCTTTTAAATATATTCAGACACTCGATCGGGGGGCTTTATCGTGGAAAGAAATTCATTAAATTGTTTTGGATATTTTGGTCATTTTTAGACACAGTTTTGTCAAGTTAAGTTTACGTCTAACAGTACAATATTTCCGCCTACTGTCTTTAATTTTAAATCCCCGATAATTGTTGTGTATTGTGATTGCCATTAGTATAATATGTTTTTTGATTGTAGTTGGCTTGTTTTATAAAATAAAACGTATTGTTATCTTTGAATGACGTTTTTCAAATTTGTTTATACACGTGATGACGACGTTCTAACGAACGGAATCCTAGTTGACAATATCCACTTTCTAATTTGCTTAGTCTTGGATCGAGGTACTTATATTATAGCAATTGGAAAAAATATATATTTCAGATATGCCCGGCATGTGACACGGTTATTATCGTACAGGTTTTTATCGCCACGTTCGTTCATAACGATTATTTACTAACGTACGGATGACAATAATTAACATTTTTGGAGCTGTTTTATATTTTGATAACCATATAGAAAATAATATGATATATTTTTATTAGCATTCCAAATACATTGTATGTTTGTCCGGTTGTGGTAAACGATACCATTTTATTATTATTTTTTTTTAACGGTAGCATTCGTTTTAATTTGATGATCGATTTCTGTAATGCTAAGGGGGAGGGGGCTATTTTAAGTTTGTCAATATCTAGTTGCATTTGTCATGTTTATTGCTTAGATAACAAAACGGGCGACAGCAGCAGCTGCATAATGTTATATTATAAATGGACGTAAATTCTGATAAAATGTGATCGCAGCCTGGTATCACGAAAAATATGCAAGTTAATAATTGTACAATTATTATCAAATTGTGTGAAGATAGATAAAGTGAATTTTATGATGTACCTATTTCGGTACATGACCTTATTGATGCACACGCAGTAAAAATGATGACAATTCCGGATATCGGTTTGTTTTTGTCTGAAGACAAAGTGTATATTATTAACTGCGGAGTTTCAAAACGATTAATAACATAAATTTGGTTTACGAAATTTCATTGGATTCGCTTAACTAAAAATATTTTACAGAAAATACTATAATGATAAGAGTCATACTCACTATACGTACCAAAATTACTCTCTATTAACTACTAACAAAACGGCTGTAGACTTACCGCTTAAAAATCTGAAGAGCTGCAAAGAAATCAAATTTTCATAATGTACAAACTTTCTAAAACTAAACGTCTTGCTTGACTCTTCTTCGTCATATTTGATTGTAAAAGTGAATTATCTCCTTGTATTTGAATTTTGAAACAAATACAAGTATTCATTCAGTGTTGTCTGTTTTTTTATTTATTAGAGTTGCTTCACTTTTATAAAGGAAGATATGACTAAATGTGACACCATTAAGCAAAAATATGTATATTTTAAAAATATGGAGTTACACCACTTTTACAATAAACGAGCCATGTATGAATCAAAATTCTGCACGACGGCCTTTACATAAAACAGTACCGAATGCGCTATATACAGTCTTAGTATACCAGATACCACAACTCATTAATCATCTAAACACTGGCTACAAACCTAGCATTACCTCACATGTTAGGAGACCCTTTTAAAAGATTGATACGTAAGTGGTGCTATCAGTAAACAAGTTAACAAGTAACAGTTGGACGGTTTCCTAACTGGTGTCACACGTGTTAATGTAAATAAAATAAGTATAAAATATGCTCATTATAATACTATGTTGTATAGTGCGTGTATATAACAAATAAAGAACAAACTATGACTAAAAATGGACTAAAGTAAATTGGCCACCGGTTGTAATACCACCATTTTTTGTTGAGGTTAACACTTAAATTATTTTCCATGTACAATCCATGTTGTGTGTTTGTGCCTGATATTGAACCATCTGTGGTGTTTTTTTTCTGCAGATGTTATTATTTCCCCATAATCTATACACTTGCACGACAAACACAGTTGTACTAGTACAATCGTTTGACAACAATTAAAATCCAATAAACCCTTATTCGTTTGTGTTGTTGTACCTTGAATTTTGGTTGTTCTTGTTATTACTTGCTATTTTAGAAATGACAATCATTATATCGCTCTTCTATTAAGAAAAATGGTTTTTAATTTGGGGGTTTCAATGCCCTCGTTATAATAGTAATAATTAAGTACTTTGTACTTCAAGGTCGTATGTGTTATGTATTATTTTGAATACCAGGTAGCCGCCCTTTTGTTAATTATGCTTGGCGATATTACAATACAAAGATTTAAATTTCATTACAACTTTTTGTTTCTGCGTTGTAAATCGAAATGTTATTATTTGCCAATATGTGTCAACAATAAAGCTAGCCGAAAATATTATTCGGTCCTTCTAATAGCGTAAAAAATACAATTGTAGCAGGATTTTTATACAGGTGACCGTTTTATCGTGGGCCATACAACATCTTATAGGATATAATAAGAAATCTAATTTTTTTTCATATTGTTTTTATACAATGGGATCTGAATTTTTCACCATTTTTTTTGTTCCCACTTCCCTCCCAAACTAATTATTTTTACATCAACTTTTAAAACTTAAATGACAACGCATACATGTCATTAGCTTTTTTAAATTGAGAATAATGTACTTAAAATTTTGATTGGTCGATAACCAGTTTTGGATAACCATTTTTGGAGTTATTCAAGTTTCAAGTTTAGGGCTGGAGGAAAGGTGGAGTGCAGTTTTATTTTTACCTGCGCATATTTCCCCTCCCGTCCTAACTTTTAAACTCTTATGACATTAAAAATACTGGTTCAAAACTGGTTATCGACCAGTCAACATCTTAAGTACATTATACCCAAATTTCAAAAGTTGCTATCAAAAAATAGTAAGTTAGTAGTAGAGTAAAAACACAATCAAATTTGTAAAATATTTATATCACATTATAAAAAAAAAAAATTATGAGATATTGAGTGGTTCAAGATAAAGGATCACTGTATTAGTGATGGAATCAGGAAATCTGGATTTTCATAAAAAAAAAAAGACACTTAAAATTATTTTAAATATTAAATATTATTAAAATATAAAGCTTTGTACCCAATTAAAATATTTTTGAAGAAAATTTAAAAACAAAACAACACCAAAAAGTAAAATTTCGGATTTGTTGAAATCCAAAAGAAATTTACTATCAAAATAAGCGTTATATTTTTAAAATTTCACTAAAAAATTGTACTTAGGTACACATCTTTATATTGTAATTATATTTATTATTTATACGATTTTCAAGTGGCTTAAATAGCATTTTTGTAAAAAAAAATCCGGATAGTCGCATTCTTATCAACTACCCTGTTGGTTGTTATCCGTACGATTTTAAGCAATTTAATTTTCAATTAAAAAAAATCTATTTTGAAAATCACTAGAAATCAATTACGCCCAACACCGGTGTGTGTGTGTATGTTCTTTTCCGGCCTACGTTTTTTCGCAGGACAAAAATAGGGCAATTCCATTGTAGTCGACGATGACTATGACGTGTAAACTTTTAAAGTGTGTAGGAAGTAAAAAAGTTTCCCACTTTCCTCTCCCGGCCCTTTATAATATTAGATTGTTGTCATGTGCGTTTTTTTTTTGTATTATGAAACAACGCTATTGTCATTATAATGCGATGCAAGCCGCCCAGCTCGGGATTCGCGTGGAAAACGGCGCAATAGTTTTTGCTGTTTTTGTCGCGTTTATTACATTCACAATAAAGAAACCCAATAATGGCGTTTTCGTGGATTTTTTTTTTACAATTTTTTTTCTCTTCTAGTTTCCGTCACTCGAACGCTGTGGTGTCAGTCCCTTTCGGTCGAACGGCGAAGTGAGCAAAAAACAATTTGCAGCAAGAACATTGATCATGGATACCGCAAATCATCATCAATAAAGTTCATACCACATTGCGAGGCGCCGGAGAAGACAAAGTTGTAAAACGTGAGTGTGCGGTGTATGTACCCTTTGTGTGTGTGTGTAGCTATTATTACCGTTAAAAGTAGTTGTTTAAATGCCAAAAAAACAGTTCACAAAGTCGGTGTGGCGGCACTCGCCGCTGTGTTTGAACAACCGAGACTTGTACAATTAATGATCATTCGTGTATTGTTGTATAGTGCCACACGTGTGTGTTTGTGTTGTTAAAACGCTTTTGCTTTTTTCGAAAATCTAGTTAAGTAAGAAAAAAAATATATACCAAATAACCAGTTCGGCGTACACCTGTGCCAATAAAAATTCATATAATATAATAATATATCATTGTAGCCGGCCGTGTTTCCTTATCGCGTTGCGAACATACGATTTTTATTGTTATTACTTGGAAAAAGCCGTTTCGAGGTAATAAGAATATATATTTTTTTTTATTATTATTACTATTGAATTGGAAATGAACTACCACTTGAGGGGACACTTGTTATTCCAATAATGTGTGTAACCCGGTTAGTAGTCGTCGGCACGCGTTGGTTTACTAGAGATATTTTCATAGTCGGCCATCTCTCGCCCAAAGGAAACGCTATAATATAATAATATTATAACATAGACCTTGTACCGATGACCCTGTTGAGTGTGCAGCTAAAACGACACTTGTAGGCATGACTAAATTAAATTTCGTTTATCTACAATAATATAGTCGACGACCTTTATATTGCCAACTTATTTTTTTTATATACCTACGTTTACTCGTCAACAACAATAATAATACAATTTTAAAAAACCAATACCTTCTTCTACTCGGTTCGAAGAAACGAAACTCGAAAAAAAAAATGTTTTTCGTTTAACCATATTCCAATGATGTCAGACTATAGAATATTTTAATATTAAAAAAATACTGGGTTTTTTTTTTTTTATGTATAATTTTACCTATTATGTATCATAGTTAAAAAAAACTATTAATCATCAACATATACTACATAATTTTTATTTTCCAAAAAGTGAGTCAATACCTATTTTATGAGATGACCTAATTTATATTGGTTTCATTTTGTTTTCCGGCTAATTAACATTTAAGCAACTAAAACTATTGAAAAGATTTAATTATTTAAATTTATGTCGGTGATCTGGTGCAAAATATTACTTATTATTGTTTTTAAATATAACTTAAGATGGAGGTTTTAGTCCAAACACCATTCGGATAGTATTGCAATTTCAATGTAGTTGCTTAGTGTGTTGACGTTATTGGCAATCGATCCAATTATAACCACCATGTTGATAATGTGTATTATTAGTATTATATACATTATTCTTAGACACCCTAGTAAAAACCATAATTGAATAGTGAGTACCAATTTAAACGGTTATTAATGATAATTCGGAAATTGGTTTGTATTTTTAATTGCAGTAAGTACGGTTGATAATTAAATTTTAACGTTAGACAGGCAATATTTACAAGTCACATTTATTATTCTGCCTTCAGTTTTTTTATGTATCATAAAGTTCAATTTTGTCGTAATCTCCTGTTACTCATTAAAAAACATCAGCCGGTTTCCACGAAATGTTTTAATTGTAAATTATTTTAAATACACTGTTATATAATGGTCGATTTAAAAAATAAATACCGATAAGTAAATTATTTCTATTATTTACCAACATCTATGCCAGCTAACGTTGTTAAGTAATCGCGGTGTGGTGTGGCATAAGCGTTGAATACTTTTCTCCTTCTCAAATATTCTTAGACATTTTTTTTTTAATAGATGGACTTTAGATTCTGAATCTTTACCAGTGTAATAAGATTAAACTATTATTGTGTAGTAATCGTTACTACTTACAGTTGTACTTTTAATGATCAAAAATAAAAACGAACGATTAACATAGTTATATCTTATAAATCAAATATTTTTGGTTCGATTTTTCTAATGCAAATGTAGGCAAATAACAATAAATGTCATAAAACATTTGAAAACGAAATCGTAATTTTTTCTAGTCAAACAGAGCAGCAATACGAATGTGATTTAATGCTGAAAGTATTACAAAGTGTCTTTTTTTAAGTTTTTCTCGTCTATGTATGATTTTTGACCGATCAAAATAATTTACACGATAAATGCATAGAAAACAGATTTTTAATAATTTGTTAGAATTTTGTTCAATTACCTGGTAATAGAATTTTTGAAAAAATACCAAGATTTTCTAATTGTGGAATTGCTCTAGACAAAAACAAAATACTTTATCGCATTGCTTCTAGTGGAATAAACGTTATTTTACATAATCCACAATAAAGTGGTGTGTTTAATTAAAATGCACTTAACATACTGTTTTAGATAATCAGACTTTTGACATAGAGGTTTTTCCGGCGTACCTACTAATTAATGAGATAAAATTGTAGACCGATAGGCGTATTAAGAGATAGCTGATATTATATAATAATATGTATTTTTGGAGATAACTGTTGAGCAAACATGGTCGTATTTTCGACCGGCTCTCATTTATATTGTTTCTTTATTGATGGATATTATTTAGTTCAGTTCTACGGATCGTACAAAAAAAAAACAGTATTATCAAGACACTGATAAAAATTAACACGGGGGAGCTGATACTTATCACAACAAAACGCAGCGGCCATCTTTTTAAATCTACAGCACTATAATATTATATCTATGCATGCATTATTATTAGTTATATTTTGTTAGATATAACATATAATACAAACTTGATTGCTAAGTGTTCATGCCACCAAAAGAGATAATTATCATTGCTATTTTTCCGCCATCTTTGTGGGAATTAGAACCTTATCACATGTTTATAACAATTAAAAGTTAAGCTGGTAGCACAGAATTCCAGATATTTATATTATATTTCATGTACACATAAATCTCTCAGTAATGGCGGACGTCGACTGCAATTCTTATCGCTAATCAGCAATCTATTTTATTGTATACTATATCTATGTATAATACTACACAGAATTAAAATGTCCGTCACTTTTTTGTTTACATTGAAAGTGACCCTTCTGCTTTCATCTATTCTATGTGATATCACCGCTTATCAGCTGTCGCTATATTTTTTTAAATCAATGGTAGTATCAAAAACTATTAACTGTAGGGTAACTATGAGTCAGGTATTTGTTGTGCTTCCATGTGTGTGTTTAAATAAGGGGAATCGAATAGTAACATTGACACGATTGGTATTCAGTGAGGCGGTTCATGTTTTTATCGATTAAACAAACATATTTCGTTTGTTCTCTGTGTTCAGTTAGTTGTTCATGGAATATATTATATATATTTTTTATTGTAGATCTTTTTTTTTTTTTTGCATTTATTCTCAACATTTGTTGTATGAATTGTAACCGAACATGAAGTCTCTTCAACTTGTGGGATTTTTTTAACGCTGAAGATTTTTTAAAATAATAGTTCAGATGCTTCGGTAAATTTTTAAGTAATTACATACAAATTAAAGAAGCGTATTAAAAATACAGTCGTTTTAACCTTGTAGACGTCTTTCTGGGTTGCTATAATAAGTAGTATAAATTTGAAACGTCATTATTAGCTGAATTTGGTAGCACATCATGTTGTATATTAAATTTTCTTGTTAGTGTTAATTTCACACGATTATTGTGATTATCCGAACACAACTAGTTTGTTATAAATAAAATATGCATAAAGATCAGAGTTTTCAATGTTTATGTATTGGAAAAATTTGTCATTTATCACCTTTGCACTTGTACGAAAATGAGGTTTTAGTTACTATTCAAAATCTGTTTATTTTACTTCATAATGATCTAAGTCCTATCGGTAATATTTTAAGAGTTATAAACAAAAACTATATCAATATCATTTCATACAAAATAATAATAACATGTCAACTAACTGAACTTGGATTATTTTATTTTTTGCGCTTTATTTATCATATGACTTGGATGAAACTTGTAAATGATAATTATATCACATTTCCATACTAATTTTTTTTTATGTTATGCTCAAAATTGTAAATAACTGTTATTAGGTACATTTTTTGTTGTGTTCAATACACATGTTTGACTTGGGTAGGAAAAGAAAAAAATGCTAAACCTAAATTAAAAAAATATATATATTTTTTAGTTCTGTATAATAATAATTATTTTAATATGTAATAACAAAATTGAATATAATGTGGGATAAAATTTAGTTGTGCCCGTAGGCAAATTACTAGCATCGGAGTACTTCTAAATAATAAAAATTGTTTTTATTATTGTGTTTATAACAAATGTAATAGAATAAATTTAAAATCAAAACTATTGAATTAACACTATTTATACAATTATGTGTGTTATTTTATAAATCACAAATAACCAAAATATCAATTAACGCATAAACCCCAAAAATTCTATGTACATAAACTAGGTAGGTTACATTCTAGTTGTCGATTTCATGACTTAGACATTTTTTATTAAATAAAAATGAAGAAACTAAATACTGATAACATTTTTCTGATGCACAATGTTTTCTTTACTTACATTTTTGAAATTAACCTAATAGTTTATTGAAAAAATCACCATTTAATATTTATTGTTTTTATTTTTCAGCCAAAGAAAACCATTAAGATGCTGTGCTAAAAACAATCCCTTCTTCAATAAGAATGGGATACTTCACCGTCAACACTCCATTTGAAATAATTTAGAAAAACATTTTTTGGCTAATTTGTATCTTTTTTTTAAACACATCTTTTAACTCCATTTTCCTTTCAAATCTTTTTTCTATTTTAATTATTTCAATTTTACTGAAAAATAAGGTAAAACAATAATTACAATTAAATTTGCTAAATAGTTGTAATTAAATTATTATATATATATTTTTTTTTTTTTAGTTGTCAACCAAAAGTATGTCCCATACTCATTTTTTAACCAAAGAAAACTTCACCAGCTTCTGTAAAAAGTTATCTGAACTTCAGTGGACAATGGAATCGTCTTGTGAAGAGAAAACTGAATGTTCTTCACCGGCATATTCTTTTTTACCGACAGCCCGAAATGTTCCCAAAAATGATTGTCATCCCAAAGAATCGTATCAAAATTTCCTCATAGATATAAACGAGGATAACTTTTTGATTGAGAAATATTTAACACAAGAATGCGACACTTACAAGTTGTTTGGTGGACCACCGATAAATCCATTGTTCCCAGATGAAGGGCGTGGGTCAAGCATTGAAGATTCGCCAAAAACGTTTTCGTACTTTTCAAAAAATTGTTCTTATCTGGACAAAAGTATTTGGACACAAGATTCCGGTAACGATAGCTGGCCCGATGCTTTCATGCCTTTGGACATTAAAGAAGAGACATGGAAGGGATTGAACACGGAAACTACAAAAGAACCCATGTCTTGGGCGGTCATACAACGTCCGGTGAAAGAGGATAAATTTAAGCCCATCAACCAATTGGTGGACGCTGGTGCTGCTGTATTTCCCGATGGATCCCAGTTTGAAATAGATTTGTCCTACGAAGCTTTTGACGCTGTGGAAATTGAAGGTAAATTGTACATTGGAAAAGACGAGTTCAGGCGCACAGACGATGGGCTATTGTACAAAGTCTGCAATCAAGATAAAGGTAATTCATCAATTTATTATCTAAAATTACATTATTAAATTTAAATTGTCAAGAAGTATGTTGTGTGTAACAATACTTATGCATTTATATTTTTCTAGGTACTCAAACCGACGAGTGGGGTGACGATGCAATGATGATGACACGCACTGCTAGACGTCATTATCATTTCCCGATTTTTCAAAATTGGCATACTTCGCAAACCGGTGAAAATCAAGATCTTTTGAGCGACTTCTTGAACCCACAACGTATTCGCGAAATGAGAGGCGACATTAACGAAAAGGATCAAATGGTCGATATGCTCCGCTCGATTGTCAACATGCAACATATATGGGACAAGCCGGCTACGTGCAATGGAATAAACGAGTATCAGGACCATAACGCGTTTATACCGACAATGTTCAACGGATTGGCTGCTACATACACAATGTAAAAAAAATAATTTTTAAAACTTATTTAATAGATTTCAAAAATAGCCCCAAATTACGTTGTTATTTTAGATTGCAGCCAGACAGTGGTTCAGAAAGTTCAGACGATAAAGATTTAATATGTAATAAGATTTTCCGCAACTCTCGTATGTGAATGATCAGTTTGAAAACTTGCCAGGTTTAATGACACCATATTAATTTGTTCTGCTCGTGCACTACCTATTAATTTATCAAAATGTCTGCATATTACATCATTAAGATTAGGTTTATTTATTTTTCTTTTGGGGCAAAATTTATAATCACTTAATTGTTATTGAGACCATTAACTACGAGTTTTGGTCAATAGTTTGTGTTTAAATTTGTATTTAAAAACAAAACCAAAAAATATATATAATAAAAAAAAGAACAAAAAGGTCAAAAACCAAAAAAAAAAATTATATTCATATAATATATATATATACCTATATATATATATATATACTTATAAATAAATATTTATCTTATGGTTAGACCTAAGTGTAAAAATATAAACAAATGGGTTCTCTCAAATCATTAAAATTAAATTTGAAAAAAAAAACAATTTTAATTGGAAATAATTTTTCTAAACTGTCTGACATATTAAGGTCAAAGAGTAAATAGTGTTTTGTAGAAGGTTAAAGTTACATATTTTTTTTTTTTATAGTTATTGTTTATACTTTTTAAAACACAAATAAGAAACGCAACTGTTCAAGATGTCTAGGCTATAAAATAAATTGACTGCCTGATCGCTGATTCTCATGCGTGTTATAGTATAATACTAGCATTTGACGACTACAAGCAAATTGCTTTAAGCAATAGGACCAGACGAATTTTCCAGGATTTCTGTTATTTTTTTTATAAATATATAATATAATATATTATATATATAAATATATGATTGGGAAATAAATTAAATTTGACGCGGTTTTTGATTTTTAAAAAAAAAAACCTTTAACAAATAATTTTTCGATGTATTATTTTTAATATTTTTGCTATCTTTATATTTCATTCGCCAATTATTATAGATTCATAATTATTTTAGACAATAGTGAAATCCTGGTTATGAGTTTCGTCTAGTTCAGTTAGAAAATATCCAAAAGAGGGTCCCGATTTTTTTTAAATATGGCGCCCAGATTTTACTGACTATATATTATATTATATATATATATATTTTTTTTTTTTTACCTAATGGAAAGTCCGAAAAACCATTTTCGGCCCTGATTTTTAATAAAAAAGCGCCTAGAGTTTTTATTTATAAAATTAACTAAAATATTGTATTTATTATACATTATAAATAGTGTATGTATGATGCACATGATTTATTTGACGTGCCTGAAAAAATATAAAGGGTTAACGATTGAAAATTTTTGCTCTTTTGAGTATCGGTTGAATTGAATGAATTAAATATTACTAACCGATAAATACTTGAAAATTTTAAATGTCCAAAAGAAGCGTACCCTTTAATTTGATTATATTCATTTTATACAATAATATATATATATATATATATATATACACACATGATATATAGTAAACAGATATATAGATATATTTATTTATAACACAATTTTTATTTTATTTTATATATAACAATATATATAAACTATTTTTTTTTTTTTTTTGAAGTCCAGATGTATCTTCTATGGTTTTGTGTTTTGTTAAAATTGTTGTTAGTTTATTTCAAACGTGTAGTTGGTACAGGCAATTACAAAGAGATGTAAATAACGAATATTAGGTTGAATTTGACCTTGATCGGTCTAGACAGTTTAGAAATATATGAAATATATAATATTTGAAAGTATTTTAGAGACCGCGATAACTAAATAAAGCAGCACTTTAAAAAAGCATAATGTGGACGACCGATAAGTGCAAAACGTGTAAACGGTGTAGTATTCGATTCAAATTGCTTAATTTGGCTGAAATTGTACTCGAGTGCAAGATGATTTACATATATATTTCTTTTAATCAATTACAGCTGTTAGATTTGGAAACAAAAGCCATTTTTTTTTTTTTTTTTTTTTAATACAAGTTATTTAGGGCCTATTTTTTAAATTTATATTTGTGAACTACGAGTAATATAGTATAAAACCTATATGACTTTGTTTTGTCATAATTTTACGTTTAGTATTGGGATTTTATTTCCTAATATTACAGAATATAGGTAGGTGCATAAAAAAAAAAAAGGAAACGTCTAGTAAATAATTTATAACCTCGCGTTTCCCTTATATATATATTAATGAAGTATGGAATGTTTTTTCTGACGAGAGTGATGAAACAACGCATGTATAATATGAATTTTGAATAAGTTTTACTCGAGTAAAAAATATTGACAAATAATGTATTACGCATATTCATTTTTATATTCGTTTAAATTTTATATTGTCACTCGTACACTGAAGGTTTTTTAGTTTAATTATGTATTTCAAATAATTCACCAAGTGAATCACACAATAGTTTCATCACATTATTACATTATTTTTTTTTTTTTTTTTTTAGTTTTTATAACAAGTTTAAAAAAAAAATGAAAAATGTCTTGTCGATTATGAAAATAATCATATTGTTTTGTTTTTGTTTTTTTTTTCATTTGTTTACTTGGGAGTTAAATGTTGGTTCTTTCTTGTAAAAAATACATAAAAAATGTAATCCGAATAATGAAATGTTTCGAATATGTACCAAAAAAAACATAAGTGTATATTAAAACTTTATTTCAGTCTAAACAAAATCGGATTTCATTTATTGTATTTTTTTTTTTTTTTACAAGTTTTTTAAATTTTTAGTAGGTTTTTTTTTTAACTAAGTTTATAAGTGTTTAAATTCATTGATTTTATTATAAATTAATAATTAATAATAAATAAATTAAAAATAAATTGCAAAACAAAATTTTAAGTTTTAGTTTTCAAAACTAATTGTTTATTATTCACCGCTTATTAATTTTTTATCAAACTAAAATTCAATATTTTGATGTGTAAAAAGTAGTAATATATTAATAATTTTTTAATTTTTTTCTACAGGGAATATTATACAATAGAGTACATTTATAACTTTAATAATTTATGTAATTTAAACGATTAAAATAAAATGCTAGGTACAGTGTTTAACAAATAAACAACGTATAAAGTATAAACAACGTAACAATGTATCTAGTCTAAAGTTTTAGAATAAATGTAACATGTTAATTATATTGGAACATAATATAGATACCATGTAATATAATATTATTATGTTGATAGTACTGGAACGACGGTATGTGTAGAAAAAAGTTGAGTGAATCTATGTATGTACTTTATAAGTATCTCTCCAGATGGAGAACTCTTTATAAGCCTACGCTACATTTAATATTAATGATTTCCAAATTGTAAAATAAATCTAAGCAAAACTATATCTTGAAAATTACTAGGCTTTCAGCAGATGAAGTGTAAACTATTTAAATTGCGTACGCTCACATTAAAAAAAAAAAAACTACACAATTTGTTAAAAATTTTACTTTTATGTAAACTGCTGTTGTTATCTTCAGTTTTTTCTATTTAAAATAAGAATTGTAACAATTGATAATTAATTTTAGTTCTACATTACCCACATTAAAGATGACTTTTAACTCTGTTATAATCGATGTAACTGTCAGGAAACCAATATTGTTTTTAATTATTTTGTTCTTTTTGTGAAATGTTTTAATTCGATATTTTGTTTTTCATTTCAATTCATACTAAGACACGACTCGGTACTTCGACTTGAATGTCATTTTAAATGAATATCGATTTAAAGAAATAATTATGTTTATGTAAAATTATTGTTACTTTAAATAATCATTGTAAAAATATGTCGTATATATATATTTAATATATAATTATATCTAATACAAAAAAGGGAAATTAGAGTATAATTGAAAACAAAATTGTTGGAATAAAATATCAACAAAAAGATATTATGGTGTTTTTTTTTTCAATCGTTTTTTTCTAATCCTTTGTATTTTTTTTTTTTTATTATAAATTGTTTCAGGTTTGTCGATTATTTAGTAGCAACTATAACATAATATAATCACTTAACACCGTTAGACTGATTGATAAATAAAACAAGACCATATTTTTGTCTTCTCGGTATACAACGTGTGTGGCTTAAACTAAGAATGTCGACAGAGAATTTTACGTGTATCATTACATACCAACAACCTGGGTTCCATAACATAACACAAATTAACGGTTAAAATGAAAACGTTCAGTTCGCAAGTTGATAATTAACTGAACTGAACACAAAAAAATAATATGTTCATTGAACTTTTAAATCTATAACGTTATATATTTTAACGTTCAAAAATTATTCCCTTGGACTTGGGGTTTGTTCATTCAAATAACATTTTTTTGATATTAACATTCGTTCATACAACTTTCTATTATCTATACTAAATATCACAGTTAACACGCCAATAATTTTATAGTTTGCATTTTCATGTCCATCATGATTTTGTCATTTATTTCGTTTCACAAGCCATCATCGTATCATCATCATCAGGTTATCATCGTATCACTTGTAGATTGAATAGTTTGCGATAACTATTATTCTGTCTAATACCTCTTCATTTGCTTTTTTAAACTATTTCTTTTAAATTCCAATCTTTTTTTTTTTTAAATATCTCATCAGGTTTTTAGATTTTAAATATTTCAAGGACGTGGCTAAGTATATGAATAAAACGGTTAATTATCGAACGCTGTGTCGAAAAACTTCAGAATTTGATTAAATACAAAATCGATACTACTTTTTTTTGTAGGAAAAGGTTAACTGATGATTTACTGTAATTCAATTTTTATTGATATCTCAGATAAATTATATGCAGCCTAATTTTATAACTCTAATAACGACCATTTTTATTGCAATAGTGTGTCAAAATAACATAAATAATGCTGGATCCAAAATCGTACACGAATTCTGATGAAAGCTCTCATTAAATGCGATATCCGAAACGTACCCATGTCTAGGTATGTCTTGCATACCATCTTTTAGGTATGTTGTGCATACCTGAAAAAAATTATATATTCTTAAATCGCTTTGTGGGTAAATCGTTGTGGTGTGGGACGGCAATAAAAGAAATTTACTACGTGTTGTTGGCAAGAAAAACCGTTGAAAAACATTTACTCAGAAAACGTGGCTGTTGACATTGAACACCGTGTACGGTTTTCTTTTTTTTGTAAATATCGTTTGTCTGTTGACGTGCACAAAAAGTGTTCATCACACACGTCATACCTAGTAAACTATCTTGATCGTTCGGTTCTGGTCGATTCGTTTGAAAGTCCATTATTTGCTGCAAGTGATTGAAATTTTGGAAAAATGGTAGCTCGACGGTTATTCAACGGTTTGACCGTTTCTTGTGCTGTGCAACGGTATGATGTTATTATTCGGTTCGATCGCGGCAGACTCCGTGGAAAAGATGTCCAAACTTT